TTATAGTCCAAATCCTGCCTTTCCTATACCGATTTTCCCCGGAATCTATGCTATATCATACCCTTATGCCGTCCTGCGAACACATAATTGCCTTATTTTCCTTGTTTTAGCCCAGTCCCCTTTCCAAAGCCGATTTTCCCCGCCATCGTTAGCAGACCCTCACGCGTTACCGCAAATCCCCGAACGAACCAAATTGATCAGCACACTTGAACGCCATTTATTGGTTGTATAAAGTTTATTAAACGAAAAGATAGAAACGTAGTATGTACAAGTAACCATGCTTCGTCAAGGGACACATTCGGTAGGCTGTCCATGTCGGTAGCTGGTATCTACAAGAAAAGTAAGCAGTGTCCCAATAATTAAACGGTAAAAAAATCATGTTACTGAAGTATGGCATTTTACTAGTATATTGTATGGTGTCAAGCAGTATGAAGTTGAATAGCTCGAATATAAGTAGGTTTTAAAGATATTGAGAAACGCGTACTTACAGTGTCTTCGGCCGGAGACTGTGTTAGGTATGGTTCGGCTGTAAAGGTGCTGACGGGAAGCTGAAACTATGTTTGAACGACTCGAGGCAATTGCTTTACCTTCATAGTATTGTCCCGACGTCTGGCTCTGCCACCGCATCTGTCTCGCGTCCCGTGGAATCAGTCAATTGTGCTCTTGCACGCTGAGTCTATTGTGTAATCGGAGAAGGCGGAGTGTTCACGAATTGCAGCTGAATAAGTAAGCTCAAATATATAACGTACCAATAAGAGGACCTCAGAGGGGGCTGCCGACGAAGTTCTGCTTATCTCTTGACCCACGCCAGCAGAAGCGGAGGCATATGGGTGGACGAGTAGAGCAGTCGGTAGATTCCCGACTAACTCTTTCGCGTTTCGGCCGTCATTGATGGCCAGACGCCTAATCTATAATCCATCCAAATAATAGATGTGTCAGTATATCTGCATACCGTCTCCTGTGCAAAGTCAGCATTCGTTTCAAGCTGACTGACGAATTTGTCGTAGATCTCGTTCGTGCACAGAGGCATATTCGATGATAGCGTCATTTCTTCAGCTGGCTGGCGTGTTTTATGCATGGGCTTTAAAAATTCGGCCATGGTCGCTTTAAGCTGCGCCATATCTGCCCTAATTTCGACGATTTATTCCGCCACATAGTCGAATTTTTTCTACTTGTATATCATCAGGAGTCGCAGCAGTCCTACGGGACACATTCAACATCCTGTTGCACGTGTGTTAAACGTTTGTTACAGGCGGTTATGCTGGGTTCCCCGGGCAGCCTTAAGTAAACATTTAAAAAATCTGCGTACTGATAATCCATTGGTCGCGTTGGTTGGCTTGATCCTCTCCAACAAGGTGTATTATCCGAGTTGTTGCGTGGACTAAAACGTAACTTATTTACACGAATACTTACTGGAGAATGCGTGCGGCGTCGGCCAGCGAGTTAATCTGTTTTCTTGCCTAGGTCATTGCGGAGCCAGTTCGTCGTCGTCATCGGACAAAGAGGTGAGCTGGCGGAAAAGTCTACACAGATACGTTAATGAATTGGGACCGTTTGCTCAGAGGATCTTCGGAGGACGACTGGAGATCATTTAAGACAATTTCACTGGATCTGCTTCAGCGCTGTTGTCCAACTAAAGTACAAAAAACAACTAGTCGACCTACTTGGTTAACTAGGGACCTAAATAGGCAGCTACGAAAGAAAAGCTAAAGATGGAAAATATTCAGGGAAACTGCGTCACCAGCGCATTTCGAAGAATTTCGTCGTCGACGAAATGCAGTCAAAAAATGTATCCGTCAGGCACGGAAGGAGTATGAATCAAAAATTATCCGAGAGGCTGAATAGAAGCCCAAGATTTTATTTCACTATCTTAACAGTAGACTGAAAAATAAGGACCCGGTCGCGGTGCTGAAGAATGATAATGGTGTAGAGATCATTCAGAAAAGCGGGAAAGCCGAACACTTAAGACAGTATTTTGCCTCGTTTTTTATTAGAGAAACAGAGTTTCGCAGTCGCAGTGCCAGCAATGCTGTTGAGACTGCTGGTCCCGTACTTGATTCCATACTCTTCCCGACAGCTGTCGTGGAAAGCGTGCTGCAAAATCTCAAGGAAGCAAAGTCCTCGGGTCCGGACAATATACCGGCCAAATTCTTGAAAGAACTGGCGAACGAACACTCCAAACCACCGGCACACATCTTCCGCTCGTCATTCGGATTAGGGAGGCTGCCATCGGAATGGAAGACAACAAATATCTATCCGATATACAAGGGCGGGGCTCGCACTAATGCTAACAATTACCGGCCTGGTAGTCTCACCTGCATCTGTTGTAAAATAATATAGGCCATAGTTAAGAAAGCAACAATTGAATTCCTGGAGCAGGGCGATTTACTCTCAGACCTGCAGCACGGCTTCAGACAGAACCGATCGTGCCTTTCCAACTTATTGCTCTCGACGGAGCAATGGACTCGCGCACTGGACGAGGATGGTAGGGTCGATGTCATCAACACAGACTTCAAGAAGGCGCTAGACAGCATCCCACACAAACGCCTAATCTACAAACTTTCTGAAATTGGGATAAGAGGAGGCTGCTGACATGGATAACAGATTTTCTTACAGGGAGATCGCAAACCGTGTGCATTGAGGCCTCAAGGTCAACTCCTACCCCCGTTCTAAGTGGTGTACCCCAGGGCTCCGTCTTGGGACCGTTGCTATTACTGGTTTACATTAACGACTGCGACGACGACCTGGGATGCAGCACCATCATGTTTGCCGACGATGTTAAGCTGTGGAGACCCATCAGATTTGACGAAGACAGGTACGCGTTTCAAGACAGTCTCAACCGCCTGAACATTTGGTCAGCTCGTTGGCTCCTTAATTTTAATGTGGACAAATGTGTGGTCCTGAGACTCCGCACCAGACGGACCAGTAAGGAGGACGATTCCTTTCAATACGTCCTTGGTGGTCAGCCCCTTTCAAATGTTGTGGAACGGAAAGACCTCGGCGTCATAATGACCTCCTCACTGAAACCATCATCACAGTCTCAAAGGGCTGGCAAATGTGGGATAAGGTTGTTATTTGCCCTGAGGCGAGGATTTGTGCAGATCGATGTGGAGCTCTTCGGAGAAGCCTACGGAACATTCGTTCGGTCTCACTTAGAGTATGCCGTCCAGGCCTGGACACTGTGATCCGAGGAGATTTTTCAACAGATGGAAAGGGTACGGACGACGACTACGAAGATGATCAAGAAGCTTAATCATCTGCCTTACGAAAACAGGCTGACCGAACTAAATCTGTTTCCTATAAATTGCAGGCAACTGCGCGGCGATCTCATTCAAGCCTACAGGATTGTCAGAGGCCGTGAGTGTGCTCTAGACTTTGAGAAATTCTTCGAATTGGCCGGGACTGACCGTCTGCCTGGTCACCCCTTCAAACTGAAGAGGAAGCTGACTTATTCGGACGTCCGACGGAACGCCTTATTTTACAGGGTCATTGGCGCATGGAGCGGACTACCTGATGCCTTGGTTCTTTCCGAAAGTGTCAAGTCTCATAAGTGCAGACTAGATGCTCATTGCTGAGAAACACCTGTACATATAATAATGATTGTTTTAACGGCGGCAGTTTGCGCCTGGCTCATACTTACCGCTAACTTTTTAACTTTCCGCATTTGCTACTATAATTGATGACTCTATTTCTGTTTATCGATATGCATAGGGAGCTCAAGAGCGAAAGCCTCATTCCCTTTATAACGTGACTTAATCTGACTTACACTGACACATGTAGGCCGGTCCTACCCGCATTTTTATCTTTTCGTGAGCGACATTTTTTTCTTTACGGTTTATCTAATTATTTTTCATTCTATAATGGAGTCTTTTTCAGTGTTTGCTCACCATTTCTCTTGGCGAACTACTTATCCAGTAACTATGTATTGCAGATTGTACAGATTCTGCCTACCTCTTCTGCAATCCACATGACTACAACGGGTCTTATATAACATTATTCTTTGTTATTTTATTTTTTTGGGTGCGGAACCCATCGATTTAATCTATCGTATTGATGGAGTTCGTAGTCTTTGATCGTCCTGTCCGGTCTCACAACGGACAGTTTCTTCACCCTACAGCGAGCAATGGTTCGTCAATGTCCCTCTCTGGTCCAGTCCCACTTTCATATGAAGAAATTGAGGCTGAAAATATCCGAAGCAGTGGTACCGATCCCTTTCTGGACTACGTCATATACAGCTATTATTATATTAGGGTGACACTTTGGGATTTGCGTACATAACGTCCAGATCGATGCGTCCATTAATGCGTTAATCACCAGAGCGAATGGGGTTTAGAAACTCTCGGCCTTTCTTATATGAGCAGGAACCGACAATGCGTGTTTTGTCCCAAGCATATTGTGGTCTAACCGAGAAATCGGTCCACATGTAACGTCCCCTGATCTGTGCAGGGTTGTTTGAATGCCATGAAACTTTTGGCGCGCTGACCTAGGATGGAGACGGCGCAGCCACACGTTGGTGAAGATGGCCGGTGTCCCTTCCACTCTCTCCCGACGATCCCTCCTCCCGCTCCGTATCGTGACGTAACGTTCGTACCGCTTCCCTCACTACATCGGTAACCCCCTCGGCCCTTCCCTGCAGTTGCCCCCAGCGCTGCGCTCCCCACCGGTTTTCCAGTTGGAATGTTGGCCTCGCCTCTCCACCCAGACAGGTCACTCGACTGTTGTAACTCATCCCGTTTGTACTTTTAACTGTCATTATAATCTTTTCAATTCCCTTTTCTGTTCATTATATCTTCCCGTCCACTGATTACTTCTTCTTCCTTTATGTATGGATGAGTATCGTGAACTGCTAACAATCGTATTCAGATCAACACAAGCCGGGATCTCTTCCTCGGTATTCCGTTACGTGGTTGTGTGCTACCCTTGACGTCCTCGGCCGCTACATTGGTGGCAGCTACTTCGCCCACGAACCCTTTCGTTGATCCACCCTTTCCATACCCTCCCCCAGTGGCTCCTCCCACCGACCGTCTATACACATCAGCGCCTAGCCCCCTGTTAGCCCCAGACGCCTACGAACCCGGACACAACATTCGTGATTGGCTGCGTGACTTAGATCTTTTCTTGACCGATGTCCCACCCCACCAACATACTTGCTTCTTACAACGTTTCTTTTCCCCATCCGCCAGGCGACGCGCCTTCGATAGATAGATAGATAGAAAATAAATCTACATGCGAGTTTTAGACGAGGTAGGCCGAATCTTTACAAAATGCAATTCATAGTTTCTGAATTATTAGTCCATTGAGAAACATGATAATTGAGGGGTGAAAAAAAACTCCTTAAAAAAAGTTAAAAAGGTTGGATGCTGGCCTTACACCAGCTACTCCCTTCCCCGTCGCCTGCCGTTGCGTCGTGCAGCTGTTCGACACCCCTGACGCGCCTGGCATCGCGGCAGAGCAATTTGCCAAGTTACGCCAGGCCTCCCGGCAATCTGTTGACGACTTTGCAACGGAACTCACCCGACTTGCCTCCGCGGCTTTCCCCAACTAACCACACCCCGATCGGGACGACCTTATCCTCCACCGTTTCATTTCAGGCCTCTTCGATCGCACGGTCACCGACTCCTTTCTCCTCCGCCCCCCGCGCGCTTTGAACGACGCCTTGCGGCAGTGCCTTCTGTATCTTACATATCACCGAACCCACCAACCCCCTCCGAGACCCCCTTTACCCCCAGCCCGACCGGAGCCCCAAGCCCCAGATATACGGAGCCCTTTGCCGGTCCGATTCCCTGATCACAACCCTGGCTGCCAGAACTGCGCGGCTTTCGGACCACGAGCAGGCCACTGCGGCCACAACCCACATTGTGAGTCCACCCCCATTGACGCTATTTACTTTCACGATTTTTTTTCTGTCCCTGCTTTTACTGTGCCGGTTCATGTGGATAGTCACCCCACTCGGGCGTTAGTAGACACGGGCGCAAATGTGTCGCTTGTCACCATTCACAAGCTTCCCAATCACCTACTGCGTCACGTGGACCCACTTTCGGCTCCCCGCTCCCTCCGCGCCGCCAACGGCACGGCGATCCCCGTATCGGCCACTGTTTCGCTACAGCTTATGATCGAAAACGCGCGTATCTCCCATAGGTTTCTAGTTACCCCTGATGGTCCCTGGCCTATCGTTCTCGGTCTTGATTTCCTAGAGGCTTACGATTGCGTAGTTCATGTTCGCGAACGACAACTCACACTCGGCCGAAACACCAGTGCACCCGCCCCTTCAGCCATTATAGACGACCTCGACATCATGTACAACTCAGTACTTTCCGCCGTAGCGGTAGAGCCCACCCCTTTAGATACCGTTCTTCCCGCCCCCTCCCTTATCGGTCCGGTCGCGCACGAGCAGCTTAAGACCCTCCTGAACTCCTTTCCAGACCTTTTTGCCTGGTCCACCGACACCATCGGGCGCACCCACTTGATTCAGCACACGATCGACACGGGAGACGCCAAGCCCGTGTGGCAACCCCCGTGATGCATCCCACTGCGCTACCGTGAAGAAGTCAACAAGCTGTTAGATGAACTACTGCAGGCTAAAATAATCCAGCCTTCGTCGTCCCCATGGGCTTCTCCCATCGCCCTCGTCCCCAAGAAGGATGGATCCGTCCGGCTGTGTGTTGATTATCGTCGCCTTAACGCCGTGACAGTTCGTGATTCCTTCCCGCTTCCGCGGTTAGACAACACCCTAGACGCCTTCGGAAATGCGGCATGGTTCTCAACGCTAGACCTCAAATCCGGTTATTGGCAGGTTGAGATGCATCCAGACGACCGCCATAAAACCGCATTCACGGTACGCCAAGGTCTGTATGAGTTCCAGACCCTTCCGTTTGGCCTGTGCAATGCAGCCGCCACTTTCCAACGTCTTATGTATCGCGTCCTCCAATTCCTTATACCGGATAAGTGTCTCGTCTACCTCGATGACATTATAGTGTTTGGGAGGTCTATCGACGAACACAACCACAATTTGCGCGCCGTATTGGAAGCCCTCCGCTCCGCTGGTCTGACCCTTAACCCCACTAAGTGCCTTTTTACGCTGTGAGGTAAATTTTTTGGGTCACTTAATCTCCCCCGGGCGCATCTCTTCCCTCCCTGACCGCATCCAATGTATCCGCACGTGGCCAATCCCCTCCAACCAAACGCAATTACGCAGTTTCTTGGGGTTAGCGTCATATTACCGCCGTTTTATCCGTGGTTTTGCTCATATCGCCAACCCCCTGCACAAACTCACGGAGAAAGACAGACCCTTTGTCTTTCAGAAATCGTTTCATCATACATAGCCTCATCCATATATCCTCGAAGTTTCGGCAGTTATCATCCATATAAATATTTGGACATAAGTCTTGTATTGTGATTTCGGCATGAAACCTCAAGCAACCCTTCGTCGAAATCTGAAGGAAACTAAACTTCATCTGAAACCCATTGTTCATATGAGAAAAATTGATCTATGGGCGCTTGATGATTTTAACAACTTTATGTCTCGTTGCGGATCAATTTTTTCTGTCCTTGGTGCCCTTCTTGACGGAAATTTGCCAACGCTTACGTCTCAGCAGTGTGAGAAGCTCATGCATCTCATCAACCTGGTTGCGACTGAGACTGAAGACAGGCACAAACGAAGTTTCAACTTTATATTAAAAAACGTTCCTAAGAGTAGACAGCCAATAGATGTCTCCTTTCATTTCCTTTTTTCATGCGGCTTCAACTTTAGGCTCGCGGAAGCTAAAAGGCTTTCATCTAGGAGCAAGAATCCACCAATTCTTGTCAAACTCTTTTCATCAATAGAAGTGGATTTTATTTTATCCCATTTGGAGCGCTCGACTCAATATCTCAGGGCAAATAAACTTTTTATTAGTCGAGACCAAACTCCACTGCAACGAAAAGTTTCTCCCCCATTACCAAACGTAAAGCCACCCCCGAATTCTACTCAAATGCCTTTTTCCTCTAAAGCAGTTTCTCCATTTGGTGTCGACCAAATCCCCCCACTATCTACAGCGGCCCCAGTTCCATCTAGCTCTTCGACTGATCACATTATCACAGAGACGGTTAAAACTAGTCTCTTTAAAACTCCCCCACGGAGCAAGGATTGTTCAAATGCGGCTCCCAAATTTATGAGGGAGCTTGATCTTAGCAGTAGAGATGAGCTAGTTCTTGAAGCACAACCGGCTCCCAGCACTCAGAATAGTGATTTGGTTAATAAACTTACATCGAATCCACCCCGTTCCCACGCCTGGCCACTCAGGTCTGACCTTGCAGTTAGGTCTAATAAGCTAGATGAGAGTTCAGGGAGGTCTTTACCTGTTCCTATCCTGAATTCTCAACTTAACGCCACAGTTGTGAAGCCCTCTTACACATCAGACTGCAAAATGCAAGTATATTGCATTGCTGATAAATTTTCCAATCCCGTTGCTAGCCTGACACCCCAAATAATAAAGCCCTTTCCTGATGTTAACTGTTTCCCGAAACCATTACGTCCGCCACCTAACATAAACTATCCCTCGTATTATGCTAACAATTCCCAAAATCCTATTTTCTTGTCTCCTATTTTTCCAACCCAACAAAATAGTTTTCCTCTTCCTGGGTCCTCCTCAAATGTTTTTCCACCTAATGCTGCATCTCTAGCTAGTAATTACCCCATAAATTTTAGACTGCAGCAACTTTGTCCTCCACCAATTGCTTCGTTCCAACAGCTTAATTTTCCACCTCCGACTCTTCCTTTTTTATAAGTAGCAATGAGCGGATCCTGCATATTAGGAATACGTCCAGTATTGTCTCTCTCAACGCAAGATCTGTCGTGCAAAAGATGGCACACCTAAGAAGTGTAGCTGTTGAGTTTGACACAGACGTACTGTGCATTACAGAATCTTGGGCCCACTCTCTAATTTCAGACTCGGCACTTAACATAGATAGCCTCAGTTTATACCGCCAGGACCGTGCCGACAGACGCGGCGGTGGATGCCTTCTTTACATAAGAGCATCACTTGCACAATCGCCTTATAACTTGAACATTTCCTCCTTCTCTGGAAATTTATGTTTTGCTTCGGTAATCCTTCCGCAAAATAGGAAAGCCTTAGTCGGATGTGTATATAATCCTCCTTGTTCCTCCGGAAATGAAAGCCAACTTTGTGAACTCTTTCTCCGGAAATGAAAGCCAACTTTGTGAACTCTTTGAAAAAATTGCAGAAACTTCTTTCGATGTCAAGATAATCGTAGGCGATTTTAATTTGCCAGAAATTGACTGGCACACACATACTTCTCCTCCTAAATTCCAGAAGCTGCTTGACACAATTTACTTTTCGAACCTGACTCAATTAGTTCACTCTTCGACCAGCAACGATAGTGTTTTAGACTTAATTTTTACTAATGACACCTTCCCTTTATCTTTGGATTTTTATCATGACCTCTTTGCAAGTGATCAGGCATTAATCCATTGTCGCCTTCCAGTTGCCATTTCCGCAAAGCCAACAGTTCAACGTAGTATTTTTGACTTTGCTAATGTTAATAAGGAATTAGTAAATAACTTTACATGCACTCTTGATTGGCACAATATTTTTTCAAATAATGATCTAAATTTTTTCAACAATTTATTACAATGCGTAACAGAAGGTCTTCTTGACCTTATTCCTCGGAAGATGTTCAAATCGAGTGCTAATTCCACCGCTATCCCACACTTTCTTAAAAACAGACTTAAAAAGTTACGGAAGCAGTTTAAAGATCCTTCTGTGAGCTCATTCTTAGTTCATCTAAGAATCGTTGAAATATTTGAACTAGCTTCGAAAATGAGGCTCGAGCGAGATAGGCGTAGAGAGTCTTTAGCTATTAATGACGTTAATGCTTCTAAATCAGTTGCTCAGATCTTCCGTCAGAGATCATCTGCTAAGTCCCACCAAGTCATTCCGCCCTTGCTTAGTGCTAGCAATGCCTTCATTACTGAGGAGTCAGGCAAAGCTGAAATTTTAAATTTGTTCTTTGCCAAACATTTTACCATTGAAACTGACCCGATCCCTTTAATTCCTCCGTTGTCTGATACTTCTCTTAGCTTCATTAATTTTTCTCCTGAATGTATTCAAAAACTGATAAGCCATCTTCCTAACTCTCACTCAGTAGGTACGGACAATATCCCAAACTCTTTGATAAAACAGCTAAGAGATTTTCCTCCTCTGCTTAGCAAAATCTTTTCAGTATTTCTCGTAAATGGCTTCTTCCCTGACTATTGGAAAACTTCTATTATTATTCTAGTATTTAAGTCTGGCTGTCGTTCTGACGTACAGAACTATAGAGGTGTCCGTAAAACACCCTCTCTCGCCAAAATCTTCGAAAAAATTATCGCCGTAAAAATTACCCAATTTTGCATAGCCAATCAAGTTCTTAGCCCTTCCCAGCATGGTTTTTTACCAGATCGCTCTTGTGAAACATGTCATCTGTCGTTTCTCGATCTACTTACCTCTCTTCGTAATGATCACCTATCTGTTGTCGTTATTTATTTTGATCTTAGTAAAGCCTTTGATAAGGTGCCACATAAAAGACTCTTGATTAAATTGGAAGCTATGGGAATTCGCAGTCCACTTATAGACTTTCTCAGGTCATACCTGTCTAATCGTAAACAAAAGGTTTTGGTGGGATCTTCACTTTCAAGTGAAAGTCCTATTGTAAGCGGTGCCCTACAAGGCACCCTTTCGGGTCCTCTTTTGTTCTTGCTTTACATAAATGATATTTCAGCAGCAGTTAAACATTCTCAATCATTTATTTATGCCGATGATCTCAAATGTGTATATTCTTTCAATAAATCTACGAGCCTTCATTGCCTGGAGCAAATCCATGCTGACTTGCTTGCTCTCTTAGCTTGGAGCTCAAAATGGCTAATGGAATTCTCTCCGTCTAAATGTCGTTATATGTGTTTTGGACCTGATACGCTACCCCAACCTGTGGTCTTTCAAGGAACACCTATGACTGAATGTACCGCCATCAAGGATTTAGGTTTAAGCTACACTAGTAATCTTGATCTCTCGCCGCACGCTGACAGAATTACAGCCAAAGCTGCCCAGATTTGTGGCTTTATTTCTTACAATTTCTATCTTCCTGAAATTAAATTAAGGCTCTATCGTATGTTTGTACTTCCTATTCTCGAGTATTGTTGCCCATTCTTTGGTTTGATGAATGAAGCCAGTCGTTTAAAAATTGAAAATGTTCAAAGACGTTTTTCTAAAAAAACTTTTAGATAGGGAACATCCCAATATCTCCTACTCAGATAGATGCCAGCTAATTAACCTAAAATTTTTATGGGTTCGAAGACTAGAAGCGGACCTCTGTCTCCTCTTTCGCATTAATCATAGTTCAAATTTTCCTCGGATTTCAACACTTACCCCTAGTAGTCGCCCATACAATCTTCGCAACTCGTCTCTAATTATACCTCCTCCAGCGTCCTCCACCTCTAAGCGCTCCCTTTTTTCGCTTCCAGGTATACTTTCCTTTGGAATAACC